CTTCTTGTGAGCATCTGGTAATCAGTGATGAAGCCAAGAGTTTATATAAAGAGATTCAAAAAAATGCTAGGATATTATAACTCGATTTGAATCTATGGCCTAAAGTAACTTTTGAACTCCCTTTATCATTACATTCTGATTTTTTTTTTTTTATGTCAAGGAGATCCAACAACTTGCATATAATCTAAAAAAAAATGTTTTACCTTATTTACATAAGGTAACTTTTCAAAGAAGGAGACTCCGGTAATAATTTAATTGAATCTTCTGCATTAAAATATCAAAGAGAGCCGTGTAGAAAAGTGAAGTTATTACTTGGAGGAACTGAAGCTTCTGAATCGAATGTACTCGTCGTCATTTAGTTTTTGCCAGACTAATTGACATAGAATCTTTAAGTTTTTTGTAATAAATTTTATATATTTAAAAATTATATAGAAAGTATTATTTCCTTTGTTTCAATTTATGTGGCGGTTTTGACTTGATCGGCATGAAGTTTAAGAAATGAATATTTTTGAAAACTGTTTTTAAATAAAGAAAGATGACATTCTTTTTTTGATTGACTAAAAGGAATGAGTGTTACATAAATTGAGACGGATGGGATATAAATCATAATAATTAACAATTTAAAATATTTAAAAGATATGTAAAAAAATCGTGATGCCATATAAATTGGAATAGAGGGAATACTATTAATTATGTCGCACGTATATATTATATATAAGTAAATTGTACATTTTGCAAAACTAGAAGTGACGAGTAGATTCTTGCAACAAGGATCATTGTCCAATCTCTTAAAATCTAGTCATTTTAACATGCAAGTTGAATGAATGTTAGTAGATAAACTCACAGGAGCTTAGTTGTATTATAGAGTCATAATTGTTTATAGATAAATTGTACATTTAGTAAAACTTGAAATGATCAATAGATTCTTTCAACAAGGATCATTGTCCAGTGTTTTAAAATCTAGTCATTATAATTACATGCAAATTGAATTTATCGATAAACTCAGGAGTATTATTGTATTATAGAGTCATACACTTGTTATAGATAAATTATACATTTTGCAAAACTTGAAATGACCAATAAATTCTTTCAACAAGGATCATTGTCCAATCTTTTAAAATCTAGTTATTATTACATGCAAATTGAATGTTATAGATAAACTTACATGAGTATTATAGTATTGTAGAAACTTGTTACAGATAAATTATACGTTTTTCTAAACTTGAAGCGAGGAATAGATTGTTGAAAATATATTTCGTGCACGGATCAATGTCCAATCTTCTAAAATTTACTTACTATAACATGCAAATTGAATGGGAGCAGGTCACTATCATTTGACTGGGGCTAAGTTCATTGAATGCAAATTAAATTACGTTAATTAGAATAATAATGTGTTTCTAAAGCCATGCATGTACGTAATGCTGGTCCTGGACCACTTAAGAATAGGTGTCCCAAATTAACCTAAATTTTTATAATACTTATGCAAAGTTGAACGACTTTTTGATTATTAAAAATTGTGTAGTGACTTTGGATGATACTTTAACAAAGTTGGGTGACTTGTTGATAATAAATAAGTTTAGTGATTTTAGTGCAATGAAGTAGAGTTGAATGACCATCTATGAGATTACTTCGATATTTTTCTGGCCAATAATCGTCATGTAGGACACAAATGGACATCGACCCTAACTCAATCTCAAAACTAGCTCATGAAATGAGGTTGCCCAAGACCATATAAAGAGACCACGAAACCCTCATCCCACCGATGTGGGACTCAATACTCCCCCTCATGTCCAAGCCTGCTTTGGAGCATGGACAACATAAATGGGGACCCAACATCGGTAACAATAAAGTGGGATGAACCTAACTCTGATACCATAATAAGAATGGACCTCGGACCTAACTAAACCCCGAAATCTAACGCATGAAGTGAGGATTGCCCAAGATCATATAAAAATACTACGAAACCCTCGTCCCACCAATATGGGATCCAACATACTCGTTTCTTGTTGCTAAATGGCACTATAAATCTAACTCAAATGCTTACCAAAAGTACACACTCCTATTAATTAAGATTTATATTTCAAAATCCATACTTATGTGATACTCATTCCTTTATCGAACGACACGTTTGACACACACTATGGCATTTTCAATAACACATCACAAGCCAAAATTAGTAGTTCCAGCAAAAGTAACACCTCGTGAGACAAAACATCTATCTGATATAGATGATCAAGGAAGTACTCATTTCCAAATGCCCACAATAATGTTTTACAAATATAATTCTTCAATGGAAGGGAAAGATCCTGCAAAATTAATCAAAAATGGACTGTCAAAAACCCTAGTATTTTACTATCCATTAGCTGGTAGGATTTTTGAAGGGCCAAATAAGAAGCTTTTGGTAAATTGCAATGGTGAAGGAATCTTGTTTGTTGAAGCTGATGCTAATATAGAGCTTGACAAGTTAGGAAACTCAATTAAACCACCATGTACATACTTGGATTTAGTGATTCACAATGTTCCTGGTTCGGATGGAATCATTGGTTGTCCTCTTTTGTTAATTCAGGTAAACAATCAATAATCTCCTTTATGTTTTTTTTTTCTTTCAAAAATTCCATTATATAGGGGTTGAAATTCGAGACATGTTGAAGAGGTATTTATATGTTATGCCACTTAACGTTGATATACTGATAGTGTAAAAAAATTTACAAGAGATGCAACTTTTTTTATTTTTAGGTTTCTGATCCTACTGTTTATAAACGATTACCTATAGTTATCTTTTAGTTGACCTTATATTCGTGAATCCTTAATAATATCGTAAGGCACAAAGAAGATGAATAAGGAAATAAACTTAAGAGCACACTTAGATCATAGGAAAGCTCCAGTCTTAGCAATACAAGATAACAAAATGGGGTGTTTATAGGTGTTAAGAAATTCTTTTGGTATGGATTCAATACTAGTAAATGGTTTCACAAACATCTGAAGTTAGCCACTTTGAAAAACACAAAAGACAACTAGAATAATCCAAAAGATCATGTATCTATTATCTAACTAAAAAGGCATATAAACCAAGACACTTAAATATTTAACTTTACTATTTCCAACATACCTGATAATATAACAATTCTTTTACACTAGCCGAAGTTAAATTATTAAACTTATATTACCTTTTACATGTAGGTTACCCGTTTTAGCTGTGGCGGATTTGCTGTTGGAATCAGACTTAATCACACTATGATGGATGCCTATGGCTTAAAAAAATTTCTAAATGCATTAAGTGAATTAATTCAAGGAGCTTCTACACCTACAATATTACCTGTATGGGAAAGAGAACTCCTAAATGCAAGATCACTACCATGCATTACATGTACTCACCCTGAGTATGATGAGCAAATTGAATCAAAAAATGCATGGAAATTTTTAGAAGACAAGTTGGTCCAAAAATCATTTTTCTTTGGAAATAAAGAGATGGAAGCCATTAAAAATCAAGTTTTTCCAAACCATAGTGAAAGCACAAAATTCGAGTTATTAGTGGCATTTTTATGGAAATATCGTACAATTGCTCTGGGCCTGCGCCCTGAAGAGATTGTTCGTTTGACATATATTGTTAATGTACGTGGAAAATCACTAAAATTTGAACTACCACGTGGATATTATGGTAATGCATTCGTCGCTCCAGCCATTGTATCAAAAGTAGGATTGTTATGTTCAAGTTCATTATCATATGCAGTTGAATTGGTTAAGAAAGTTAAAGATCATATGAATGAAGAGTACATTAGATCAGTGGCAGATCTTATGGTGATTAAAGGGAGACCAGAGTTGTCAAAATCTTGGAATTTTATTGTCTCAGATAATAGATCTGTTAGATTTGATGAAGTTGATTTTGGATGGGGAAAGCCTATTTTTGGAGGGGTTCCAAAAGCTATATCTTTCATTAGTTTTTGTGTGCCTGTTAAAAATGACAAGGGAGAAAAAGGTATTCTCATTGCTATAAGTTTGCCTCCACTGGCCATGGAAAAATTTCAAGAGGCTGTCTACAACATGACTTTCAAAGATGTGGAAGGTGTCAACATAATTTCAAAGATTTAAGGTTTTTTTCTCCCTTTCCACCTCAATACATGTTTTGAGAGAGACTAAATCAGAATTATGGAGTGTATGTACAATATATCTTGCTTTATGATGTTGAATAGTTTGTACTTTGTAATATTGAAGTGAAATTAATAAAGAGAGTTTATCAACAACAGTCCCACATTGGAAGTGTAATTGTAAAAGTAATTCTAATCATTAAATGAAAGTAATTCTTGTCATTAAATTATAACATAATCTACTGGAAGAGTAACTCTCCTAGTACTTGTTTTTAGTAAGAGGGGAAATTCGCAGCCGCCCTTCGGGTGAGCACTTTGTGGTAAATCGCACTGCAAGCCGCACTAGGCAAGCCCTGTGCGACAGGCTCAACCCGAAAGGCATTGAGGGGGGAATTGATCCCAGGATTGTCATCCGTATGAATGACCGCCCTCCAAACTAACTGGGCAACCCGAAGGGTTACTCTCCTAGTACTTGTCTATCCTTTTTCCTATAGAAAGTACTTGTACTGTACACCATTGTATAAAACTAGGCTGTGTTCCATCCCTTGTGGTTGTCTCCTGAAATTGATTTTTTCCTACGGTATTCGCAATAGAGAAAATTCGGACCTTCCTCGTCAAAATAAAGCTGACTGGTGCTTTGTTTAGGGACGGGAGCCACTCTTCCAGGTCCACGCATGTTGAAGATAGTTGTTATAATAAATTTTAATCGAAACGCCACAAAATGGCTTATTTTCTAAAAAGCATTTTTCCCAAGAATATTTTCCATTAGAGCATAACAAACACACTTCACTTTTGATGTAACATGGTCATTTAAGCCAAGCATGATTCTACCGTTTCAACCGGAAAAAGAAAAAAAGAAGAGAACTACTTGTTCCTCTTCAACTTACAACTAACCATAATAGAAATGGTGACTCGTGATGCGAATAGAATTGTACTTACCAAAGAAAGTGTAATTTTAAAATAAAAAATTAGCTGAATTCCATTTACAGTTACATGAACAGACCAAATAAATTTGGATAGTACAGAGAATGGAAGTCATGAAGTTGATAAAAGATCCTCTTCACTTCAATAAAGATTCTATATATACCAACTTAAGATTCCACATTGTTGATGATTTCTCCTGAAAATAGAAACAAGAATGCATAGAAGTTAGTCAGAGTTATAGGGATCTACTACATCTCAAAGAACTCGAACATTATGCAGATGAACGTATTTGGTGAGATTGATCACTCTTTCCTTTAAGCTACCCACAATGGCATGTAACCAAGAGGTTTAACCTCTTTTCTGGTCAAGTATGGTTAAGAAATGTAAGTGAATATATTATTCCGGTTTACACATCAAAACTTTGTGTTCGTTACTTCTGAAAATCAAAACGACGAAGTTCATATTCTTCAGAACTACTTGAATTAGATGTAGTATATTTGGCAGACCAAAAAGATAAGGTAATAATATTGACAATCAGAAAACTATACCATGCATGGATTTGATAAAGTAGTCCAGTTCTGAGATGCATATTGCACTCTGAACCAAAGGCAATGGTTGTTGAAATGCCAAAAAGGTGAAAAGGTGATGATCAGGATCATTTCTAGGCTTTGCAGTCTCAACCAGCTTCATTAATCCTTCTCTATCATAGCATGGAAATGCGTTCTGACCAGCAACAGGAAGCGCCTTATCCCATGCTGAATTCAGTATCTGCAGAAATGGAAAGGCGTTCAAGAGGTAGGAAAAGAAAAAACAAACTCGTGCTATCGGAAAGATATATGTCCCAAGGTTTGCACGGGTGCATGTGGAGGTCGAAATGACTTTCATCTTCGAATTGAATTCTTTTATTGCCCTTAAGAGAGTACTCAAATGGATGTTAGAAGTCAATAACCTGCCAACTCAAACCATCTGGATCTGCCAACGGATCATCAGTTTCTGGAACCTGAAATCCTGAGCAGATAAACTTTACTGTCACGGAGTGCTTTTTGAGAACTTCAAACACTGGAGAATAGCCGTCCTGGTTCGTGGGGTTGTAATATCCAGCTGTGACCTCTGCCGCATGGCTGCTCGTTCTGTACCACCAATAAATTGCTGGAATCTGCAGAAAAGGAAACTCATTTACCAGGAAAAGATACACTTGTATGAATTCAAGTTCTTCATTCAACATATTGTAAATGTTTTATACAAAATTTACTACTTTGTGTCATTTACCTAAGATACTAGTGTCAATGTGCACCAGCTAAGCTCAATTTCACTTATCAGAAGAAACTCAAAAAGGATTATTAATTCCGCTTCATGAGTGCAAAACAAAATTATATTTGACCAAAAACTTTCAAATTTTTGAACTAAATTTTTTTTGCAACTTTTAGTACTCCTGGGCAGCTTTCAAATCTCTAACTTCTTTTATTAAAAAACATAATATTATCTGAAGTAGAGATCGCATTTCAAAAACTGGTCAAATAATTCTGGCCTTTGCCCAGACACCATGCATAACGGGAGCGCTTAGTGCACCGCGCTGACCTTTTAAAGACTATTGATTTGGGATGAAAAGAGCATAAACAAATACCATTTGAATAATTGAAAATGTATGTATGCCATTTGTGACAAAGAACAAAAGCCCAAATATAGGAAATAAGCAGAACGAGGTCAAAAAAGTATGATGAGCTGAACTAGCCCATATACGTACCTTCACAACAATCTGCACTCCCTCAAAAGCAAGAGTTGCCAGGGAGAGAACATTATCAGCATGATCTATTAAGACCTGCCTATACCAATGGAGGAAAAATCGCCCATAGTAGCTATCATAATCACCTCGTTCACAGAAGAATCCAGTTTCATGTGGCTTGGAATTGTAATAACCAGCGTTATCAGGTCCCTTCGCCCAGAAAGAGTGTCCCCTTGATGTTGCAGCTTTTCGCAGATTCTGCAGAGAATATTTATCGTAGCACTGAAACAGTAAAAGAATAGAAGCCAATTAGAGGATCTATCAGACTGCATAATGGAATTTCACTAAGAAAGCAAGAAGCATTAGTGTATTGATCACGGAGATAATGGGAGAATTAAGGCTGTCCAGGACACAGAATTCTGTGGCATGTCTCACAGGTTCAACCATTGCAGAGATATTAAATTAGAAGCTGAAATAAATTAACCAAATCAAACAAAAAAATCCTTTATTGAACAAACTGATAAATCTAGTTATAAGAGTTCCCACTAATCTTCTAAAGGGTTTTAAATGCATATTCAGGATGTAAATATAGTAGTTATCCAGTTCAAAAGAAAAGCTATTAATCTGTTTTAAGAAACTTTATAAGTTTGACAATTTAACTACATTAAAATGATTGACTTGGGTTAACGAAGAACCAATCAGTGTCAGACTCAGACTCCAGCATTTTCAGGCACACCAGGTTTATCAAACAGACCCAGGGAACAAGATCCGATCTTTTTCTAGAGTTATAGTCAGTGAAGACTAAGCAATATGACCAAATCACTTAACAACTTATACATCACAACCTTCCTATAACAAGTACCTGAAACTCACCAATACCAGGATACCTCCACCCCATCCTTTCAGAAAAAGAAGGGTACTTTAGCTCCCCAGACGCTCCAAGTCCAATTTCAACGGCAGAAATTAGACCATCAGCGAACAAGTCATCAAATTCAGTTCGGAAGCTTCTCATCATGTCAAAGTAAACCTGCAAAATTGGATTTTAAACTAGTGATCGAAAAACCAAGGTTTAGTCACAATGTAGAAGATTGCTGTACTTTTTTCTTTTTAGTTTTTGCTTTAATTTCGTCTCATCTTCAACGGAGTCAATCATGTGGAGAAAACACTCTTTATGTAGGAAATGATATATCAATCAGACAGCTATTACGAAAGCCACATTATCTTTCACTTCTAAAACTAGTCTTGTGGAAAGTTCCTTGGAAAATACAAATTATTCATTATTCAGTTGACAATAGGATTTACATGATTGGGTAACATCTACTAGAGAGATATTCCCTTCCCAAGAATCAGGGAATGTTAGCTTTTCTCTCTTGAAAAAATAAAGGAAAACTTAATACCTCGATGGCAGTTCTACCTCTTAATACTCGTTCTTTGTCAATGCCCCAGGATAGGCATTCAGTGTTCCTTCTGCCTTGACGATCAGTAAAGAATATATCCTGATTGTCTTTTCCTATCTCCAGAACCCACTGAGGAAGGGATATGAACATGCCACTGGTATCACTTCCTCCATTTTCATGAAATGCCATAACAACCTTTGTGGATTAAAAAACAAAACTCCATAAAATACTCTATTATTGGAAAATCCATAAATATGTGTAGATAAGCTAGAGCTCCAGAAATGTCTTGATGTGAACATAAAATGCGAACATTTACCAATTCCCCTCAAGGAATGGAGCAAATGACATTCCAGAGTGTAGATGTAATGATGCATCTTAAGAATGGATGGTTTGGAACACACAGCAATGAAAAGAGCAGGAAACACCAGGGTTCCCACAAAAAGATGACTCGTTTAAAACTTGTTAGGGGTACCGAGGCATCAATATGAGTATAATATGTGTATGAGTGTTCTTATACCTGCAATTTCAATTTGAAATGTTGGATTATGTTGAACAATTCCCTGTAGCCAGACCACTCGTATTTCTGAGGTACCCAGCTTTCAACGATGCCCCACCAGCAATTTACCACAACTCCATCGATTTTTAAAGACTTAAGCTGCTGCAGCTCCTGTTTAACACTATCAGGATCCATCAACTGGCAGAAATTGTTGATTAGACCACTCTGCCAAAAACAAAGCCATGACTTAGATGGATAATTAGAAAGTCGAATATGTGAACACATGATGCTGCATAGTGGCAACTAGATGATAAATAATCAGTTTGTGCTTTCTTTCGAATGTTGAACATGGAAAGGCATTAACAAATGAGAGAAGTAATCTTGAAACTTGGCGCGTCCACCTTATACATGTATGAAGAATAAAAATATTTTAAGGAGAAAGCTGCTTACAGAGAGCATAACAAAAACAGGGACGTATTGAGTTCCTGATAAACCAATTCCATGCTCCCCAGAGTGAAGTTCTTGCATGAGCTGCAACAAGTAACTTGTTAGTTTTCCTTTTCCATTAATCATCCAATGGGAGAACTAATGTAGCCCAACCTCAAATAAAAACTAGCTTACAAACTATACAAGCAACCATGCCGAATCAAGAACAGCTGAGTCTGTCATTTGCTACTATTTGGAGAACTAATGTAGCCCGACCATTAATTAAAAATAGCTTACAAACTGTACGAGCAACTATGTTGAATTAAGAATGGTTAAGTCTGCTCTTCGGTACTAAGATAAACTCATAGTACTAGGATCTTCGAAGCTTGAAGAGTTGATCATAAAATAAACTTCCAACATCACTGTGAGATTTCGAAAGAAGAAAGTCAGCATTAACATCTTCCCATGTAGGAGAAAAGATAAACCACTCTCTCAGATATGTCTGAAGTGGAACAAGCAATTAGTACATCAAATATGCCATCTCACATAGACGCAGCTTAAGTAGCATGAATAAAAGATACAGAGACACAAAAAATTGTGAGAAATAGGGGACATGACAACAACCAGGACAAGAAATTACATCCTTTATATATATATATATATATATATATATATATTTATACCGACGCAGATCGAGGATTTAATCTTTATGGGTTCAACTTCTTAGGTTTTTAGCATTGAACTCATTATATCTTTAAAGTTATGCGTTCTTATCTACTTATTGTTGTAATTTTAGTGGATTTTTACACATTTATTTATACTCCGCATCGGAAGTATTGGGCTCAGATGAACCTGGTACCTTGAAGCTGCATCGACCCCTGACATTATTTATATCTTTAATCTACCCAAAAAATGTAAAACAAAGCACGAGGTACAGATGACCTACTCGATCAATTTCACGGGTTCTTGCATGATGTTTAAGTAGTTCAATATCACTCAGAGAGAGAGAGAGAGAGAGAGAGAGAGAGAGAGAGAGAGATTAAAAAGCGACTAAAATAGTCCAAAATGCAAAAAAGAAGATAAACCTAATATTAAATAACTCAAATTTAGTAGCAGAGTCTCCTTTTCCCCTTCTGAGTTGGAACTTATCAAATAAGGGGATGGAGGATGCTGTATCTTCAATCTTCCTAAGTTCTCATATATGCCAAAACAACCAATTAGTTTTTTCTTAAGAGTGGTATACGGCACTCTAATGAAAATGGTTAAGACGGTACACACATCAAGATAAGTAATAAACCTCAAAGCAACATTGAAGATTATCCTTAACATACAATATCCTCAGGTTACAAGAACTTGGAATTTACCTGGCCTGCCTCTAAGCATTCTGTAGAATTCATTGTACTGTTACTTGTAAATTTATCAGCCTTCGTGTCACTTTCTGTGACTACAATAGAATCAAAAGATGCTGGCGATAAACTCTCATTGATCCTTGGCACTGATGGCTGACAGTCCATGGATGCTCTGGTTGAACAATTTCTCAAAGAACTACCAGAAACCGGACTCTCAACAGACATCACCTCATAAGGCCCCTGTGCAATTTATTCAGAACTAACGAAAATTAACACATCATATTTGTCGACAAGTTTAAACAGAATATCAAGAAGATATCGCATCCCAATGAGAATAGATGCTATCTTTGCAGCAACAGATGCAGTGCAAGCAAAGTATGAATATCAATTTTTAGTCAATACTATTGCACAATTTTCCCCCTTTAAAAAAAAAGATGTTATAATCCAAAAACAAATATCAAAAAGGTAGTGTCTGGGTCAGGTTGTGTGCACCTCGATTATTCCCCCAAGTACTGCTACCTCCAAAAACATAGGTATCGGGTAATTCTATCTGCCAAGGCTCACGAAGAAATAACCTAATGTGTTTTTTATTCTGCTGGAATTTGAACCCTCATCCCCAGTGGTTTTCAAACATTTTAATGACTGCTAAGCTACACTTCCCGGGTCAACGTGATTCTCTATCTCATTGAAAAGGTAAAACGGCATTGTTTAATGGCTTAAGTGGAATACCCTCTATACTATGAAATGAATAGAGGTACATAAACACTAAATATTATCAAACGTAAAAAATTAAGTCTCAAACTTTGGCAAAAACATTAGTTAAGATTTCAATCTTCATAGCAAAATCACGCTGGTAAGTGTGTAAGATAATAGACCTTGCACGTAACTCAACACAAAAGCTGAGCTCGAGAATAGTTTAACAACAAACAATTCAGATAATTTAACACAATTTAGATAATTTTATAAAAGAACATTGACATTCAGTAAATAAATGAGAGCACTCACCAAACAGGAAGCAGCATTATTATTAGGAGGAGGAGGAGGAGATTGTCTATAAGTGGTACCATCAGGTTCAACGGTCCAACCGGCTTGACGAGCAAGTGCAGCGAGTACATCATTCATATCAGCACGAACCGGAAGTGGGAAATTCCCGTACTGACGGAGTCCGGCGAGCATTCGGCTCGTAATTGCTCGACGGTGACGTTCGCGTAGCTTCGTTCGCTCTTTCTCCTTTTCTCTCTCTTTTCTGCTCTTGTTTGTAGCTCCGGCGGCGGTGTTTGTGGCGGCGAAGCCCCGAGGACGGCGAGGTTGGGGTTGAGGAGGGGGATTCGGGTTTGGATCTTCATTCGGGTTGGGGAATTGGGGATCCGGATGTTGGGAATTAGGAATGGAGTGGTGGGGATTGAGATTGTTCATTGTTGCATGTCTTCTTCAATGTGCTCTGTGCTTCAAGTTTTCACACACACACACAGTTCTCTAATGGCTTGGATTTTCTGATTACATAACTAAATATTTTTGTTTTCAGTTTCCCTTTTTCATACTGCTAGTCTTAAGTCTTAACTTAAGATAAATTTTTCGTGTTAACGAAAACAAATTTTTAAAAATAACATAAATATTGTTCAAAAGATGTATTTGCGTAATAACATAAAAATTAATAATTCAAATTCCAAAATGATACTAATCATATAAGGGAGTTAGATCTACTATATCGGTCCTTCCTTCAATTTATTTTCTTACTTACTTCATTGTACAAAAAATTCATAAGAGTAGCGTTGATTGATATGTAAAATATTCATTCAACTTTATCTGAGCATTGCATGTATATTTCGTATTATTTATTACAAGATTTGTGACCAAAAATTAAAAATTCTTTACCCACATTTTACTCATTTTAACGGAACTTCTAAACTGTAACCTTATTCTATTCATACCTAAATAATAATATAGGCATTCGAACTCGATTATTATTAATAATTTTTTTTAATTTTGAGCCCGATCGTTGTCTTATTTTACCTATAATTATTTTTTAAGGTACTTGTTTAGCGGCAAATTACATATATACGTTATTTTCTCTATTTTTATTTCTTTGTATATAATATTGATTAATCTTTTTATCGTTTAAAATAATTTTACATTTTAAAAGATTGTCATTTGAATTTTCTAATATTTAGACAATAAAAGTGGACAAAAATTTGAGTATACTTCAAATTCTATGTCCTTTGACCAAAAAGAAAGTATTGATTGCTAAGTCTAAATTCATACCACCTCAATATAATGCTTCCGTATTTTATAACCAAAACTATGTGTTACTGCACCTTTTTTTACGCGCGTTGCCAAAACAATTGAACTACAATTGTTGTGTCCTAATTGAACAATGTTTCGATTTTTTTTACGTCCTAATTGTTAATTATAATTGAACTATAGTTAACAATTTAAATAAGAAAATAACTTATATAAGTAAAAAAATATATCTTAATTTTGTATTCCTAAATATTAGGAGCTTCTACATCATTCAAATAAGGAAAGAAAATTTTAGTTGATTTGAAAGTCCTAAAAATTAGGAATATTATTTAATTACGATTTTGTCTAGTATAAAACTTATTTTTAAAGGGTAAAAAAGGCGAACGGCATTTCGATAAGAACCTCCGTACTTTTAATATAGTACTAATTTTAGAATACGCGCAGTGTGTGTACCCTATATCCATGTGTATACAATTATAAAAAATATAATTCCTTGAAAATTATAAGCACGTAATTTTTTACCTTCACAAATTTTAAAGTTAGTTTTAGTATTTTAATATTTTTAAAATAGTTACTTGAGTTATTATACAATTTTAGTTTATTTTTATTTTAATTTCAAAACATAAATTTTAAAAACACAAAAAATAGTTTCATTAATGTTTTTGTAGTCCTACTATTTTACTAGGATTTTTATTTAGTTTTCTCTACTTTTATTTTTATACTAGTTTTAGTGTATGTGCGTTGCACGTGTGCATCACGTTAATCAATATAAAATGTATATAAATTATTAAAAAATATCAATTGAGGTAAAACTAAACACAATATGTGTTTAAATGATGAAAAAAATATTAGTATATTGATATTAGGGGTGTACATGGACCGGTTAGTTAGATTTTTATTAAAACCAAACCAAACCATTTATATCGGTTTGGATTGGTTCGATTTTGTCGGATTTTTCGGGATTTTTCGGATTTTGTTATTACATGAATAATATGTCTATCTTACTTTGTTAAATTTTATAAGTAAATATATATTTGATAAAAACTAAAACAAATTGACAAATATATTATCTATTAAAATATTCTTATGGGAGAATTTTCTTTGTAACTCATGATAGTTATATTTTTAGTTGTCTGACAATAAATTTTTGTTAATGTACACTTTCAAAGTTAGTCGAATTTAATAATTAAATATAAAAATCAATATGATACCTAAATAATGATATACTCTATTTAATTTTCAATTATCGAAATACCACTTCAAATTTGAAAAAGATATAAGAATATAATAGATCTTGTTATATGAATATGGAAAAACAAAGAGACTGATACATTTCAATAACATTTGATAAGAAAATGATCATACAACACATTATTTAAAGTTAATAAAAATAGAGCACTTCATATTCTATATAATATTACATCCCATAAGAGAATCCCAAATATTTTTAGATATTTTTTAAAGAAAATTATATATAAAGTTTTAAAAGTATATATAAAAATTATATATTTATATGCCGTGTTTGGTTCGGATTTTTTTTTACTCAATATCAAATCAAGTTAAAACCAAACCTCATTGGGTTTTAATCGATTTGGTTTGACTTTTCGGTTTGGTGTGGTTTTTCGGTTCGATTTGTACACCCCTAATTGATATAATATATAGCTGAATTCAACATTTTCTAAATGAATTTAGTTGTAATTAGTTCTATAGTATTTATAGTTATAAATATGCTATGTTGTTGTATCTCATCCAGCATCTCTTTGTATCTCATCCAGCATCTCTTTGTAACCTTTACGTTCATAATGTCGTTATACAAAAAAATATTTCTTCATTCAAAGTTAATCAAAATTATAGCAAAATGAACCTCTTCTTGTGTAAAAAAAATTACCTAGATTCTTATTGATTTAAGTCTAAATTTTCTTCTTTGCACGTTTATCCAATACCAAATAAAAATCAATAATATCCTAAACTCACTCCGAATGCACTCTGCTAATAACAAATTTAAAATTTCAAGAGTTCATAATGTTGAGGTCAATTTTCAAAATTATCCGGGGGGGG